CCCCCCCCCCCCCCCCCCCCCCCAATAAGGCTAAGGGGTATGGTTCCTCGGCCTCTTTCTTTCTCTTCTGTCAATTCAGCACTATATCAGTTTTTCCTTTTAGTTCTTTTAGGGGTGTGCTTCCCCTTCCTATATTTTACTATTGTTTTTTAATACTTATTTTAATTAAAATAAATAATCTTAAAATATATAATACAATTTAATAATACAAACTTACAAAAACTCATAATAAAAATACTCCCTTCTTAATCTTCCCACATAGACTTTACACGGATTTTAACGTAGTGTTAAATTTGGTTTGACTTTGCAAAAATGCGCATAGTCAATTGTTTAGCTCTGGTATATGGAATTTCTCTACGACGACCGTGGGAGCATCCGCGAACAGGAGGAGCAGCGCCTTTCTTCTCGTGCAGGGACCAGCAACGGAGAAACCGGTTGCCTTTCTTCTCTAACAGCAACACTAACAGGGATTCAGTCAAAAACTCAAGCTTGTGAGGGTATCTCAGGAAAAATTTTTATATTTTAACATGTCATCGAACGTGCATGAGAGATTTGTTTTCTGTTCGAGTCTTGCAAGTGAATATTTTTTTAAACTGAATGACATTGATTTTTGAACTCATGACCTCTTGGTCAACAAGGCTCCAATATCATATCAAGAAACCGACTCAACCAAAAGCTCAAACTTGTAGTTGTGACCCAAGAAAGATTTTTTTATTCTAACAATAAATCGATCTGACCAGAATTGTGAGAGCACAACGAAGCTCTCTAGTTTTGACTAGACTCTGGTTTGCCTTATTCTCTTTGTCATATATCTAACCGGAGCGGACGCCAAAGCTCTTTAGATATAACCTGATCTAGTGAGAAGGTAGAAAAGAGGAGGACGGTATGCAGAGCAACACGATAGAAGAAAAAATATGGTCGACAACAAATCGATAATTCGGCAAAGAAAGAGATGAATGAGACGAGTGAAAAAAAGGAGATGAAAGGGTTGAACAAAGAAAGAGATGAATGTTGGGAAAAGTTTAGGATGGGTGGGTGTTGTTAGAGTTTATCCTGCATTGAAAGTCCAAGAGTAAAATAATTGGTATATAAGCTCTTGAGTTGAACTAACTAATCAATTGAATTCAATCTTTTAATGTGGTTCAACTCAAGTATCTTATTACCCAATCTAGTTATCCTTACCCCATACTAAATTCTATCATGGTATCAGAGCAGGTTTTGCCCCACCTCGTTTGTCAAGGTGTCCGTCTAGACGTTCATTCCTAGCGGCCCGTTAGTCTTTAGCCCAGTTGTCCGTGTGGAGTATGTACCTAACGGCCTGTGGCCCGTTTAACACAATTGCTCGTCTGAAAATCCATACCCAGCGGCTCGTGGTCCTTTAGGTGTTGACGCTAAAAAAAACAATCAAGGGAATGAGAGTTTATTTCCAAGTGGTCTACCGGTTAAATTCAAAATGACTCGGTTGTCCACTTGAGGGGAGTGTTAGAGTTTATCCCACATCGGAAGTCCAAGAGTAAAATAATCGGTATATAAGCTCTTGAGTTGAACTAACTAATCGATTGGATTCAATCTTTTAATGTGGTTTTACCCAAGTATCTTATTATCCAATCCAGTTATCCTTACCTTATTCTAAATTCTATCAGGTGTGGAACTGAAAGAAATGGACTGTCAAAAAAATTGACACGAACATGAGAAGAGACGACAAAATTGAAAGGGTAAAAGAGTCATTTACGCCTTATGTAGTTGTTATTTCAGGGAAGTAAACGATTCAAGGAAGCGTCCCAAAAATAGAAAGTGAGAGATTCAAAAGGTACCCACTAAAATTTAGTGTGAAACTATGGTATTTGGGAAAGTGTTTTAATCCTTATCATATCTCTCCTATATATATGGAAGGTAAGACATAATCATCATTTTTCTTGAACCCGAAGTAGCGAAACATAGTGCTCATTTTCTCAAACAAGAAGCAAAAGCTTGGACGATTGTAAGACTGCGTAGTCCCCGCACACACGGCCACCCGGGGCACTATAAGCAAAGGCGTTATGAGCATATATACACAACCAGTTGAGCTGTTCATGGGACGGCTTTAGGCAGCTTTAAGACTATACTAGTTTCCGCATTGGAGCCCATTGAGGATGCGAGTGTAAGAGGGATAATGAACTTCTTGGGGTTCCATAACGCCATAAAACCAATGGATTGAACCCCAGAAACTAATAACAATAAATGCCTCTTCTTCGGTTCTTCCCCATTTAAAATCTCTCCTTGAGACCTGGACTATATATAATCAGACAAATGCAAAAATAAAAAAACGAAAAAAAAATATTCTCTTGGCAAAACCACAGCTTTTCTACCCTGTATAACACAAGAACCATACTTTTAGATTAATTAAAAAGGTAGTAATGCCATAAACAAAACGCCTATTTATAAACCAATGCAAAAAATTTATGGGCAAGCTATGTTTAGAGGGGGCGTTGTCATAGCAGGGGGAGATTGAGATTCAACCATCCAAGCCTCATTGCAAGCATCAAAATCAAAGTCGAAATCGAAGTCGGGCAAAGCCACGGGCAGCTGATCATCATACACTACAGTAGGAGGAAGAAGGTCTAAATCATCAAAATGCGGAGCAGGAGGAAGACAGACAAAATCATCAAGACTAGTCGACAGATTGCCACCCGCAGCGGAAAGGAGGGATTCCAGCTCCAAATCGAATGCCACGCCGTGCCTCTCTGATCCCTCGACCAAGGGGTCTTCTTCTTTGAGGGGCTGGGGAGCCAGAGAATGCTTCCGAACGGAGTCCGAGGAGGAGGGGGAGGAGATGGCATTGACATTAATATTCATGGCAGCTTGGTATTCGAGGCGTTGGTTTTCATAGGCAAAAGAGGCTTCTTCGGCAGTTCCGTAAGTGCCCAGCCACACCCTTCTCCATTTGAAAGGGTCCCTGATTTCCGCCGCCCATTTCCCCCATTTCCTCTGTCTCACGCCTCTCGGCTTCCCTACCCTTGAGGGTGAAGAAACAGAAGAGGAAGAAGATGAAGAGCTTTTATTTTGACTCATCATCAATCTGTTTCTGTTATTGTTACTATCTGTGCTTCTGTCTTCTTGACAATGATTGGTCTCTCCTTCAAGAGTTGGACCACTGAGTATGGGAAGATTTATCTCCCTAACAAACACCTTCTTCTTATTCTTCTGTCTCCTGGACGCACAGTCGTTGTCGTCCTCGGACGAATCAGTTGCGTCCGGGTCGTTGCATACGATCCTTATTCTCCTCGTCGCTCTCTTTGAAGGTTTCGGTTTTTTGCCCATACTCTCTTGGCCCTCCGCCATCTTTTTTGTTTTCCCGGAACAACAAGAAAACAGGACAAATTATACTCCGATCCCTAGGAACATAATTTTGCCCTGCAAAACAAAGAACACAAACCCATTACAGATCAGAGCATTTAAAGAAAAGAAGCATTCTGGTCTAAAAAGAAACGTCGTTGGGGTCTGCTCACCTGTGGGCCGAGGTTGGATCAACGGCGGCGCCGCGGCGGGGGCTCTATTCTACCACGCCTCACTCACAGTACTACTCCCAGTAGTCAGTGGAGCCTTTCGCAAAGTTGAACAAACGAAGTGGAAGGGAGACCGTTGGACCAGTCTCTCTTATTTATACACAAGTGCATGCGTAAGAATTTCTTTAATTATTTATTGAGCACTATTAGGGGTACACCAACCAAATGTGTATTCCATTTGTCCCCACCCCCTTCTCTACCATATATTTTTATTTCATTTTTAATTATTTATTTATTTATTAGTTTTTTGCCCATTTATGTGGTGGAGGAGGAGGTGGGGGACAAATAGGGTACACATT